TTCTTTGGAGAAATGTCTATTCCCATCCATTTCCTATTTTAATTGGTTATTTTTATTAATATAATGGAGTTGTAACAGTTCTGTATATACTCTGAAAACAAGTCTGTTATTATTTATTGCACAAATGATATGCAAATATTTTCTCCCATTATGAGTATTGTCTTTTCACTCTTTTCATGCTATCATTTTTAGCACAAAAGTTTTTAATTTTTATGTACTCCATGTTATTTATTTTCTTTTATTGCTTGTGTGACACTGTCTAACTCAACATCAGGAAGATTTATTACTATGTTATCTTCTAAGAATTTTATAATTTTAAAATTTTATAATTTTAATTCTTACATTTAGGTCTATGATCCATTTTGAGTAGATTTATGTGTGTGATGTAAGGAAGGCATCCAACTTCATTTTTTTCCATGCAGACACCCAATTGCCTCAGCACCACTTGTTAAAAAACTATTCCTTCCCCATTTTATTGTCTTGATATCCTTGTTGAAAATTAACTGACCATAAATGTGAGGGCTTATTTCTGGACTCTATTTGATTCCATTTATTTATAAATGAAATATTTATATCTTTGTCCCTATACCACACTATCTTGTCTACCGTAGTTTTGCAATATGTCTTGAAATTGGGATGTGTGAATCCTCCAACTTTATTGTTTTTAAAGGTTGGCTATTTTGGGTCCCTTGAAATTCCATATGAATTTTAGGATCAGCTTGTCAATTTATGCAAAATAGCCACCGGGATTCTGATAAGGATTGGGTTGACCAAGTGCCCATCAATTCATGAGTGGATTATTAAAATTTGGTATATGTATACAATGGAATATTAATCAATTATAAGAAACAACAGTGATCTAGCACCTCTTATAGTTTCCTGGATTGACCTTGAGCCTATTATCCAAAGTGAAGTATCACAAGATCAGAAGAATAGGCTCCACTTGTACTCGCCATCAAAGTGGCACTGACTTATCAATACTATGGTGCTCACACAGCAGTAATATTCTCCAGGGATTAGGGGGTTGGGGGGTGTTAAACTCACAGCTAATGAACGCAGTGAGCATTGCAGAGGGGAAGGGCATGCCTCTAATCCTCGCTTGGGTGACGCAAAGACATAAATTGTAACCAAACTGTACCCTCATATTATCCTGAAATAAAAATAAATAAAAAACCCCAATTCTTCTATTAAAAAAAAACAAACTTCAATTGGATACTGTAACAGAGTAGTCACCCTTCCTCCCATATATATGGAATGGTAATATTGATAGTTGACAATACGTAACAGAGGGAATGGCCTTAAAAAAATGGTGGAAATTATTTTTGCCTCTTTAAAACATCCCCCACTCCTTTTTGAAAACTAAAACGTGCATCCCTACCTATGTCCACTTGTTGGGAGACACAGAAGAATGTCCTTTGTTCCTTGTGCTATAGGACATGGCTCAACTGAAATTCTTCAGGCAGAGGTCTGGGCAGACGTCAGGAGATTGTCTTCCCCTGGGATGGGACTGATCAGAATCATCAAATGTAGTGAAACAACAATTGCCTAAAGCTGAATGGCCTCTCTTTAATAACTCTGTATTTCTACTTCTGTATGGAGAATTTTAGATTTTGAGACAGGAATGTATAATTTTCCCCCTTTGCCAGAAAAGTAATAAACTTGTCTTTCCTTGTAAAAAAACAACAAAAAAAGGATTAGGTTGAATCTGTAGATCAATTTGGGGTATATTTTCATCTTAACAACACTAAGTCTTCCAATCCATGAATATGGGGTATCTTTCCAGTTATTTAGATCTTCTCTAATTTCTTTCAACAATGTTTTGTAGTTTTCAGAATAAAAGTTTTACACTTCTTTTGTTAAATTTGTTCCTAAGTATTTGTTCCTAAAAATACTCCCTAAGTATTTTAATTTTTTATTTTTTATTTCATGCTATTATAAATGGAAATGTTTTCTTAATATCACTTTCAGATTTTTCATTTGATTATGTGTATTAAACTGGTAACCATGTACTGAGTATGTTTGTGATAGGTCAGTGCTCCCCAGTCTTTAATATGTATATGATTTTCCATTTGTTTATATCCTCTGTGATTTCTTCCTCAGTGTTTCATAGTTCTCCCTATAGAGATCTTTCTCCTCCTTGGTTGAATATATTCCTAGGTATTTTATTTTCTTTGTTGCTATTGTGAAAGATATTGAGTCTTCTTTTTATTTTTTTATTTCAGCATATTACAGGGGTAAAAATGTTTAAGTTATGTATATTGCCCTTGCCCCACCCAAGTCAGTGCTTCAAGCATGTCCATTCCCCAGACGGTGCGCACCACACCCATTAGGTGTGAATATACTCATCCCCTCCTCCCCTTTCCCATCTGCCCGACACTTGATGAATGTTACTACTATATGTGCACTTAAGTGTTGATCAGTTAATGCCAATTTGATGGTGAGTATACAGTACACGTGGTGCTTCTTTTTCCATTCTTGGGATACTTCACTTAGTAGAATGGGCTACAGCTCTATCCACGATAATACAAGAGGTGCTGTATCACTACTGTTTTTGATTTGATTCTCAGCTTGGCTGTTATTGGTGTATAGGAATGCTACTGATTTGTGTACATTAATTTTGTAGCCCGAGAATTTGCTGAATCAATTCCAGGAGTCTCTTGACAGAATCTTTGGGGTTTTCTAGATATAAGATCATATTGTCAGCAAAGGGTGATAGTTTGAGCTCTTCTTTCCCCATTTGGATACCCTTGATTTCCTTCTCTTGACTGATTGCTCTGGCTAGGAATTCCAGCACCACGTTGAACAGAAGTGGTGACAGTGGGCAAACTTGTCTGGTTCCAGTTCTAAGCAGGAATACTTTCGGTTTTCCCTGGTCAGCATGGCATTGGCTGTGGGTTTGTCATATATGGCTTTCATAATATTGAGTATGTTCCATCTATGCCGATTTTGTTAAGAGTGATGATCATAAAAGGGTGCTGAATTTTGTCAAATGCTTTTTCTGCAACAATTGAGAGAATCATGTGGTCTTTGCTTTTGCTTCTATTTATGTGGTGAATTACATTTATAGATTTGCATATGTTGAACCATCCTTGCATCTCTGAAATAAATCCCACTTGATTGTGGTGGATTATTTTTTTGATGTGCAACTGAATCTGGTTTGGTATGGAAAACCTTTGCATTATGTTCATAAGGGATACTAGTCTGTTGTTTTCTTTTTAAGCATATCATCCTCATAGATCAGTAGAATCAATATTGTTAAAATGCCTATACTACCCAAAGTGATTTATAGATTCAGTGCAATCCCCACTAAAGTATCAACATCAGTTTTAGCATATCTAGAAAAAGTAATTCTATGCTTTGCATGGAACCAGAAAAGATCCTCAATAGCCAAAGCAACCTTAAGCAAAAATAACAAATTGGGAGGCATCACTTTACCCGATTTCAAGCTATACTACAAGGCTATTGTAACAAAAGCACCATGGTATTGGCACAAGAACAGAGTCCTAGACCAGTGGAACAGAACAGAGAACCCAGATATAAAACCATCCTCATATAGCCATCTGATCTTTCACAAAGCAGACAAAAACATACACTGGGGAAAAGAATCCCTATTCAATAAATGGTGCTGGAAAAATTGGATAGCCACATGTGGAAGACTGAAACAGGATCCATACCTCTCACCACTTAAAAAAATTAATTCATGATGGATAACAGACTGAAACTTAAGGCATGAAACTATGAGAATTCTAAAAGAAGAAGTCATAAAAACTCTTATAAATTTCAGCCTAGGCAAAGAATTTATGTAGAAGACCCCAAAGGCAATCACAGCAACAACAAAACTCAATAAACGATTGTTTGATTTTTTCTTGCTGATTTTCCTGAGTTCTATATAGATTCTAGTCATCAGCCCTTTTTTTCTCCCATTCTTTAGGTTGTCTGTTTGCTCCCATGATAGTTTCCTTGGCTGTACAGAAGCTTTTTAATTCGATCAGGTCCCATTTATTTAGTTTTGTTGTTGCTGTGATTGCCTTTGGGGTCTTCATAAATTCTTACATGCTGGAAGCACTGACTCAGGTGGGGCAAGAGCAATATATGTAACCTAAACATGCGTACCCCTATAATATGCTGAAATAAAAAAGAATAAATATATAAATAGGACCTGATTAAATTGAAAAAGCTTCGGCACAGTCAAGGAAACAATCAATACAGTGAATAGACAACCTACAGAATGGGAGAAAATATTTGTATGCTGTATATCCCATAAAGGGCTAATAAGCAGAATCTACAAAGAACTCAGGTAAATCAGCAAGAAAACATCAAACAACCCCATGAAAAAGTAGACAAAAGACATGAACAGAAGCTTTTCAAAAGAAGATAGACTAATGGCCAAGAAACATGAAAAAATACTCAATGTCTCTAATCATCAGAGAAATGCAAATTAAAACCACAATGAGATATAACCTAACTTCATTGAGTATGGCTTTTATTAGAAAGTCCCAAAACAATAGGTGCTGGCACAGATGTGGAGAGAAAGGAACACTTACTTCTACATTGTTGGTGGGACTGCAAACTAGTACAACCTTTAAGGAAAGTAGTATGGGGATACCTCAAAGAACTGAAAACAGACCTACCATTTGATCCAGCAATCCCACTGCTGGAAAAAAAGACATTTTATTTAAAAAAGACAGTTGTTCTCGAATGTTTATAGCACCACAATTCACAATTGCAAAGATGTGGAAACAACCCAAGTGTCCACCAGTACACTGTGGATCAACAAAAGGTGGTATATATATACCATGGAGTATTACTCAGCTGTAAAATAATGGTGAATTAATATCTTTTGTAAGAACCTGGATGAAACTGGAGACCATCCTTTTAAGTGAAGTATCACAAGAATGGAAGAACAAAATCCATATGTACTCACTACTAAACTGAAATTTATAGATCAATACTCATGTGCACATATGGTAGTAAAATTTAATGGAAATCAAGCAGATGAGAAGGTATAGGTAAGTTCACACCTAATGGGTACAGTACATATGATATGGGTGATGAACACAATTGTACACCTGTAATATTCTGAAATAAAAAATGTATGCACATGAATGTCCTGTAAATCTAGTCAAAATTCATACAATTTGAGTCTAGGAAGGCCAAAAGAAGGAATAAACAAACAAAAAGAATCTAGTCAAAATTCAGACTGCTGTCACTGGGTTTGAGGTGGGGCTTGAGTTTCTGCCTTTCTAACAACTTCTTGTAGATTGTTCGTGGCTTTTATTTATTATTTATGAGTTATAACAAACCTGTAAGACAGATTTTATTGTTCCCATTTTAGTGATAAGTAAATTATCTCAGAAGTTGAACAAGTAATCCAAGATCATAGAATAAGTGGCAGAACAGGATTTGAACAAAGTTTATTCTAATGCCAAATTTGGATTCTTTTGGCTCCACCACACTGGATATCCTGAGGAGGAGGATAGTTGGAATGTGAACAGAGTATAGATCAGGAAAAAAAGTCAAGTTTTTCAGTGTCACTTGATGCCTGGAGTGCATTTGGGTCTAAACTTTGAGTTTGTCTTGGAAAGCTGATCAGCAAGGCTTTTGCTTTCCAGGGAGCTGAGAATGAAGGTGTGAGACCAGATTATTAGCTAGAAGTAAGATGATCCTACCAGACAGACCTCAAGATTGGAGGAAGTCTAGATAGAAGGTGGATTACCTGTGATCAGACAAGACTCCAGACTGGACTCTATACTGCTGAGGTCTATACTTGAGATTACTCCTATTGTTGACTCTTCCTGCAATCTAAATTCTAGGTTAGACTAGTTGTGATGTTGCCATTGACTAGCCATAGAGGAAGAAATATATTTGTGAACTAAAGGGCAGAGCTGTGGTCCAAGGTCCTTCTAAGTAGACAAACACCATATCTCAATCCTGTGGTACCAACAGAAATAACTCATGACATAAACTCTGTGCCACCTATTCAGGGTGCTCTTGAAATAGATGTCTAAAAGCTGTTCCCCTAAAATGGACATGCTAGAACCTGCTATTCTACTGGGTATGATGAATGGTATAGCACCAACACCATCCCTAAGGGCCAGGGTAAAGGTTTAGGGATGTGGGTAAAGCTCTAGTCATATGGCTATGCATGAAGGACTATGGATAGGTGACCAAATTTCTTTCCAGTACTTTTCAGCAGAATCTTATGGGACTTCTATCACCTGAGTCAAAACACATGAGATAATTTTTTTGTCCATAGCACCCTTTATTAAAGTATGACCCTTGATGACAATCTGGCAGGCATATCAATGTCAGCCAAGAAGAGAGTGGTGGAGGACACAAATGCAGAAACAACAAGATTTGGAAAAATAACAGCTTCACATGGGATAGATGACCCCCAACAGTTGTACAACAACACTGGTTCTTTATCTGTAAAGACTGCCTCCTGCCCCACCCCCATCTAAAGATCTACTAATTTTCAAATAATACAATACACTGTTAAAGAAATACTATTGGCATAAACAACTCCTCTGGCAAAGGCAGCAAGAGTCTCCAAGCTCCAGATGGGTGAAAGTGGCCAGAAATGTGCCCAGCTTCCTCCATCCAGGGTCTGCTACTGGCAGAGCAGCACCTTTACAGAGGCTGGGGTCCAGGATGTGGTCTGGTGTGCCTGGGCAGCTTTTTGGCACTTGAGGTTAAACAGAAAACAGAAACTGAACCTGGCCTTAAGAGAGACTTTTCATCTTTTCACCTTATCTCCTCTCCTCTGCTTCAAATCTCTCCCTCTCTAGGGCTTTATTTTCAGTATCTCTGTCTCATTTTCTTGGATTTCACTCGGGCATTTACTGTTCTATCCTGGCTGAGTCTCCAGCTATGAGACTCAAGGAAACTCAATTATCCAGAGCCCTTGGGGTGGAGGGTAAGTTAGGGAGGACATGTGATAGTAGCTGCTCTCTATCAACCACCCTTACCTATTACCCATGGGGGCCTGTATAAGTAATTGAAGGGAGACAGCAGAGGTCAAGACCAATAACTGTCTTTGCGCATATCCCTTGACCTGTCTTCCAAACTGCTACCCTTGGTAGGCTTTAGAGGAGGGCTGAGTCCAGGAACTGAGAATAGGGGAGAGACACTGCATCTCAAGAAATATTGGAAGATTTGCAGTACTGTCAAACACAAGACTGCCATGACAGGAGTGTGGCACACCAGTATCTGTTTAGCAGTTTACCTTTGTCTAACAAGCTTCACTGCTCAGTATAGTTTTGCAGTTATTTTTAAGATCTTTGGAAACTGTCCCTCCATGTGAAAATGAGCATCCTTGTATTCTCCATTCAAAACACTCCCCCAGCTTCCTCAACCTTGGCTTGGGTAAGCTCAGCCCCTTATAAGCCATCAATCTTCCTAAATAGAGAAGAATCTTCCACTGGAGGGGAGAAGGGTAGGTTTGAACAGTAGTTCTGGCAGCATAACTAAGAGCATACCCAGGGCTCCACAGAAAGGGTTACCTCCTCCTTCCCACCCCAGGACACCCTGCTGGCCAAGATTCTCCCATTGTTTTCAAATACAATGAAGAGGAAATGGAAGCTAGTGACCAGTATTTGCAGCAGCAGCAAAGTTCCTTGGCAAATTCTTTGGTTGAATGAGGCATTCCTGCTGCTACAGTTGACCTCCAAGGACCCTGAGGAACTCAGCAGTAACTAGAAGAGATGCCAGGGCTTGGCTGGGCTGTGTGATAACAAGGATTGGCCCTAGTTAGTGAGGAACAGGGAATTGAGCTGGATAAAAGGGCAGAGTTTGGCTATGACTCCCTTCCTGTCATCACCCACCTGAGGGCTTTTGCAGATACAAGCTAACTATCAGCATCAAGGCCTTGGCAGCAGCAGTGGCTTTAGTTTTTTGTATGCCTAAGATCCTGGCTGGGTCACAATTTACTCTGGGGGGCTAGCCCTGGCTGGAGCTCCCAGCTAGCATGAATTTTGGTTCCTTAAGCCAGGTAACAGGCTGAGAAAGCAATGGTTAAAAGAGCTCCCCCAAGCTCACCTTTACTCATCCCATAGCCTGGAGAAAATAGGGAAATGGGCAAACCTTTCTCAGTTTCAGGACATTTCTTTGGTTTCAGAAAATAAGAAAGAATTGAACACTGCTGTGAATGCTAAGCTCATAGTCACCCAGACTTCAAGGGAAGCACAGGACCAGGCTACAGTAGAGAGGCTCTGAGTTCATGAGAACTTTTTTTCTTAGAAGCTGGTAGCTATGGTGGGAAGAATTCAATGCCTTGGCGCTTGCTTACCTAGCCATGGTAGATTCAGGCTAATCTGCAGAAAATGCTTTTGTTCTGGGTTAACTTTTCCCTCTCCAACTTCCTCCTTCGTGCCTCATTAGTTAAAAAAGATAAAAACAATTACAACATAAAAATAAATAAAATCAAAAAGCCATTAAAATATAACAATAAGAATCTCCTGCCCACAATAATGAAACCTATAGCCAGAAGCCAACTTTAGTAGAGCTATTAGTGGCCCATAGTGTGAAGCCTCAGAGTAGGCACCTGTGCAACCCCTAGCAAAGAAAGGACAAGATGAAACAAGAGGTGGTAGGCCCAAAGTCTTAGGACAGGAGTCAGGCCAAATTAGCCAGGGCTGAGAGTAGGCCTCTTCCCTTTTAACTAGCTTCTGGGAAAGGTGGGATGGATCTGATTTGTTTAAGGCTGGCTCCTTCCCAACAGGGACCTGGGGATACCCAAACTTTTATCGAATTCTGTTAAGTGTAATTCCTCCTTCTGTGCTTCCCACAGCAAAGCTTGGGTGAGGCCCTGCTAGGTGAATGCCCTCAAGGGAGCCAGATCTCTTTGGAAAATGACTAGGCCACAAGCCCTGGAGCAGAGTGAAGCTGTGCAGGCAGTTTCTTTCTGAACTTAAAGAGGCCGATTATGGTGTGGGTGTGTGGTAAGTACTTGATGTCTTTGGTGTTCTAGTACAAAGAAGAATGTAGGCACTTTGTTGGTTTTGTGGGCATCAAGTGCTTGACCTTGCAAACTGTGGAAAGGAGAGTGTGGCTGTATCATCATACCTTGTTGTAGCTCCTAACAGTGGAAACTTGGGACCTCCCCTGAGTCTCCTAGCTGGCTGGGACCACTGCTAGAGGAAGGGGCAGTGAGAGATGCCCAGGATAGAGGGCTGGATTTTCTAATTGCTGTCTACTTGCTAACAAACTGCTACTGCAGAAGATTGAAAGCACTTCCTACTGTGGCTGGGCAGGGACACTGTGGCAGACTGCTCCTAGAATTAGAAATTGCTGGGCCCCAGGAGTAGACTCTCCCTGAGACATTTGAGCTGCTCTTCCCCAAGCTTGATCTTCTCCTCCAGCTCTCTCTGTTCAATGATGAGAGCAGATTTCATCTTGACAAAGTGCTGGTAATCTTGGAGCTGGTCCTGAGGCAGGTAACAGGAGACCATGTCAAACACCAACTTCTCCCGGCGGTCCACGTGCTCCTTCAGCTCCTTGGCATCTTCTAGCTGTCCTGTCAGCTGCTGCTTCTTCTCTATCAGCACGAACTGGGGAAGCAGAGGACCAGTTAAGGACTATCCCAATTGCCAGGCAACTGCCTAATGGTGCTGCCTATCAGTGTTCCACCAGGGATGCTGCCACAATGCAGCTATCCATTCTGCTAATTGATTAGTCCTAGACTTCCTTTTCTAAAGTCCACCTCTATGCAAAAGACTTTCTTCCCTGTAGCAAGAGGAGGATAAACACAATAGCAATTCTGGACAAAAGGATGTGACATCTGTAAAGCTGTCTTCAATATGGAGACCACCACTGGTTTTGGGGTGGGAAGACTCTGAAAGAGCCAGCCTGTCCCTTCCATCTGGTGAACAACCATAGCTGTGGCGATGCTTTCTATATGGTGTGTATCTCTGTGTAAGTGGATGTGTGTGAGTGGATGTATCCATGTGTGTATGCATATTCATATGCACCTTACTGTGAATTCAAAGTTGAATTCAAAGCCACTTGTATAGGGAAAGGAATGCAGTTTGGGTACAGGAATGTAGGCAGGGTGACACAACCTGTGAAACTGACAGCCTTCCAATCTCAACTACTTGATGAGACCACCTTCTCCAACTCTAGAGAGAGTGAAGCCAAACTGCTGCTGTTGCTGCCGCTGCTGCTACTACTACTACTGGCAGGTAGCACTGATTCAGTGTTTACCCTGTGTCTAGGCCCTGTTTTAAGTAATTTCTTTACATGGATTATCTAATTTAATTCTCAAAACCTCCTGAGGCAGGTAGGATGTTCACCCCATTTTATAGATGATGAGATTGAGGCGAGTGAAGTTAAGTGAGTTGCCCACAGTCACACAGCTGATAAGTGGTACAGGGCCAGAATTTCAGGGCACTTACAGGCCAGTGTGTGCACTCTTTTAACACTATGCTTTACTGCTTCCCTTCATAGTCCAACTTGAAAGAGGGAGGCCTGAGAAGAAACAGATGGTATTTCCCTCCATTCACACCTCAGAGACCCCAACTCTACCTTCTCCTGGTTGGCCTCTGAATCAATGCTGTTGAGAGCATTCTCCACCCGGGCCAGTCGTCCAGAGAGTGACAGCAACAGGTTGACCACTTTGTCCAGGTCCCCAATAAACAAACGATATTTTTCAAACTCATTGGATTTGCAGACGGCTTTTAAGTTGGCCTCCACCTCTTCCCCAAGGGCGGAATTGGCATTGATGTCCTCTAGCAGCCCTCGCTGGGCCTCCCGTAGGACAGAAAGTTTTCTGCCAATGCTTTCAATAAGTTGTATCTAGGGGAGTTAAATAGGAGAAGACAAAGGATGACAATGAGGACCAACAGAAACTGATTTGTGCCTGTAAGCTCTGTTTTGGGATCCAACTAACACATGGTAGGCTCTACCCTAGTCACTGGAAACAAAGGAAACCTGAGCAAGTCGTTAGCAATTCCAGTTTTCTAAGTAGGCACCTTCTTTCCCTGTCTGGTAGGGATCTCTATGTCACCACCAAGCTTCTTGCCATTAGATAAACGATACCCATGGGCTAAGCCATATTTGCCAAATGCAACTTAATAAATACTTCCTGAGACTATTTAACAAATAGGAGCTAGACAAAATACTTTTGAGAGCCTATGTTGGAAAACCCTCTGCCCACAAGTAAATACTTCTCTGTCACTTCATTCATTTTCCTTCAATCCATTTAAGTACCTCTAATGTTCATGACACTCTGCTAGGTCCTTGCCTCTGCAGCTTGGCTTTTGAGGCCTTCTGGGTAAGAATGTGAGTTCTGGAGTCACAGTGACCGAGTCTGACTTCTAGCTCTGCTATTTCCTAGATGTGGGACCTTGGATGACTTGACATTATTGAGCTTCACTTTATTTTTATTATTTATTTATTTATATTTTTGAAACAGAGTCTCACTCTGTTGCCGAGGCTAGAGTGCTGTGGCATCAGTCTAGCTTACAGCAACCTCATATTCCTGGGCTCAAGTGATCCTCCTGCCTCAGCCTCCCGAGTAGCTGGGACTACAGGTGCTCGCCATCACACTCGGCTAATTCTTTGTTTCTATTTTTAGTTGCCCGATTAATTTTTTCTATTTTTAGTAGAGACAGAGTTCTCAATCTTGCTCAGGCTGCTCTTGAACTCCTGACCTCAAGCAATCCTCCCACCTTGGCTTCCCAGAGTGCTGGGATTACAGGTGTGAGGCACTGCACCCAGCAAGCTTCACTTTCTCTATCCACAGAATGGGTGTAATTGCAGTACCCACTGCGTTGGGGCATAACAAGGAGTCAATGAGAAATGCATGCAAAGGGCTTGGTCCTGAGTAAGTGCTCCATAAAAGCTAGGCTGCTATTATGATCACTCAGTCTGACCCCACCCTGCCATTCTAACATCACTATTCAGAGCCTTCTAGAATCAGCTCCTCACTCTCCTCTGTGTTCACCGCATTCATTCTTGTGTTCCTGAGCAGCTTATGCAGTTCCACCTGCTCTTTGTCTCTTTCTTCACTTTGGCTGTTCCTATTCTTTTCTCTGGGCTCGGCTCTGCTCCTATGCTCGCTGCAGGAAGCCCTCCTTTGTAAGTCTCTCAATGATCTCTTTCTTTACTGAGCTCTCAAGTTTTTTAGAATTAAAACCCTATAGAGTAATTTGAAATTCTTCATTTTCTATTCCATGTGTGTGAGTCTGATCCATTGCCTACTATTGATGGTAAACTTCTCAAGGGAGGTACTGCCTGTGTCTTCTGATTTGTCTCCCCAATGGATGTAACTAGTTCTTGGACTGCACTCACAGGAAGGCTGTGTGGTAGAGTTTTGGAGTCAGAGACACCTGCATTCCAATTCCACCTCCTCCAAACTGTGTGACTTTGGGGAAGACACCTAATTCCACTAAGACTTCTGCTTTTTCACCTGTAAAGTGGAGAACTCTCCCACCCCCCACAAGCCAGGGTTGCTGTGATGATTAAATTAAATCACAGAAGTATAAAACTTAGTATTATGCCTGGTGCTTAACTGCTCAATGCATGTTTACTAATGCTATTATTATTATATTATTTCTACAAGGCACTCTAAACTAGTGAATACTTGTCTAGCTGCAAGGTTCTGACAAGAACACACTTGTCCCAGGCTGCGCACAGCCTTTGTAGCCAGCATTGCATTGTGGTTAAGAGCACGGACTCCAGTGCCAGACTACCTGGGCTTGAACCCCAGCTCTGGTACAAAGTAGTGGTATGTGACCTTGAGGAAATTACTCAACTTCTCCGTGCCTCAATTCCCACATCCAAAAAATAGGATAATAATAGTACCTACCTCATAGAGTTGTTATGACAATTAAATGAATTAATACATGTTACATGCTTAGTATTTTGTACATAGGAAGTATGCACTGGAGTCCATGCTTGAGTAGGCTAGGAGCATTCCTGCTATGCTTGGGGAACATGGAATCCAAGGAAGCAGACATCTAGATCAATAAAACTTTAACACCACCATGCTTCCAATTCTTCCTCTGACATTTTGCTTTAGATGAGAAATTGGAGGGATGGCTCTTGCAAATGGCCCTGTGCTTTCCTACAGGTCATGTCCTCAAAAAGAAATATGAGCAGAAGAACAATTTACATTGAGTTCAAATGCCCACAGAGTGGTAAATTGAGCCTTTGAGGTTGTCATGGCAACCTTATTTGCTTATGAAATAAAATGGGTAAGTGCAAGAAGAGCAAAGTGATTCCAGGAATTTGATTAGAAAAACCAAGCTAGTGGTAATTAGAAGAAGAAACGAAGGCTTTAGAACAACAACAACATCATCTCCATTTATATATTTTGTATTTTAAGAGATAATTGACTATCTTTGTAAATAAATACTAAACTTTGCCAGCCTATAATTTCTCCTTATTTTCTTTAGTCAGTCTGTTTTCTCTCCCAGAAAGTTGCACAGAGAATAAAAATCAATGACACTAGCATTGGTTAGAATAGCTCACTGACAAAAACTTTGATGTGCCTTAGACAGTGACTTACTTACAAGGCTGGCTTAATTCAGAGAGACGGCACATGCAGTAAAGTAGAAATTCAGACAGTCTTGACTTCAAGTCTGCAACTCCTGGACGAAGTAGTCCCTTTAACAGGTGAAAAGGGGATATACTAATATCTACCTTGTAGGCTTGTTCTAAGGACTAGAGAGACAGTGATGATGATGATGATAATGATTGACTGGATCAAAAAGGGACTGGGATTGGATCTGTGAGGAACCCAGAGAGGCGTTTGATTTCCATACTGAAAACACAGGAATGCAAGATGCTCTAGAGAGTGTTAGAGGGCTGCTCAGCCTCCAGACACACTAAAGCTAAATGCTGAAAATTGTAGATAGTACATATCAAAGAAATTCACCTTTTTTTGAGCCAATTCATGGTCAACTTCTTCCTCTCCCAGGCCAATCTCTGCCATCTCTGGTTGGTCTTTCAATTTGTTGAGCAGCTCTGCCTTGGCCACAGAAATACTGTAATAAGCTGAATAAGAGGTAGGGATTCCTGGGGTCCCTGGAGTAGGTAAGAAGTGCTGAAACTCTTGTCTGCAGAAACAAAGAATGACCATTTGAGCACCTCTGCTGAGAGACTGCTGACCTTTCTGCTTCTTAATTACCCCATCTGAAAAATGGGACCCTGCTTCACCAAGAAGTTATAAAAAACTATGGATCTGGAGGCACTATTCAAATATAAACAAGCCACATGAAGACTATCTAGAAGTTAAGTAAAGGCAAATTTTAAGAACCTAGAAGTCTATTTCTATGCCCCCAACTTCAGCAGCTAGGGGGACTTCTTCAAAGATAATTTGGTTTGGTCATTAACACTATTAAAATTCAGAAAAACTGGCAGGGCCCCAAAATTCTGGGCTTCTGATCATCAGTGATTTCTTTTGGTTCATAGACCCAGTATATGGATCCCAAAAGAGGGGCTAGGTGGCAGGAAAGTATTAATATCTGAGACCTTAGCTATTGGTCCTCCAAGCCTGTTGGCCTTCCTCAGACCCATCCCTGGACCACACCCATCCCAGCTCTAACTGGTCTGCTTGCTTACAAAGGCACCCTGTGGCTTTCCTGCATATTTTCATCTTTTCTTCTTTCCCAATGCCACTCATGCTTAAAATGGCCCCTCCACTGCAGATCTCCCACAGCAAAGAGGTCACCCATAACCTCATCAGTGGTCACCATGCTGGAGGTTGGGGTTAGCACCCTTGCTAGGGACTTGTCACAGCCCGCCACATCTCTCATGAGCTCTCCTGAGACTGCCTGCTATAGGGCAGGGCTTCAGCCTGAGAAGGGATAGCATCTCTCCACTTCTGGCATATTCCCAGTGGCCCCAGCCTCCTTCATGGTTTGAGAATGAAATGGGTAAAAAGTGGAACCAGTGGCACCCAGGGGCTTGACAAGTGTAGCAGCAGACCCTGTTGTCTTGGGTTCACTGAGGCCTGCAGGGCTGAGGCATTGCTTCTCAGAACCCCAGCCCATAAAAGAGAGCTTCTCCTCAGGAAAAAAGTAGCGCTGGCTCCATGATGGCTTGGGTTTGGCCTCTTCTGCCATCAAAGCTTCTGGTCTGGTGTGAGAAGGAAGTAAAGAGAAACACTACAATGTCAGGTTTCAGTGATAGAGGCGCAAATAATTCCACCCATGGTTTATTCGATAGGGAGGCCCACCCTCACCATATTCTCCTTTCCTCCCAGCTGTCCCCTGCCTCCACCTTTCTGCGTCACTACCCCTTTGCTAACCTCTAGCTGTTTGAAAGGGAAAATAGGAGAAACTCATTAGTCATTTTTGCAGCTATTTGCAGCTTTTAGATAAAGGTCAAAAATAATGATTAAAAGGCTCCACAGCTATTTACTGATTCATGCTATGTTGTCTCCTAATTCATCACACAAAAGAAAATTGGGCATGCCAATATTCCTCATCCTAGGTAAATCCATTTTATAATATATGTAGATTTTGAAGCTTATAACACTGATAAAGGAACAATACTAGCTACCATTACACTATGTTTACCATGTCCCAGAAACTGTCCTAAGATAGATACATACACACGTATGTCTATAGATATAGAAATGAATGCTCATGACAACCATTTTACAGATAAGGAACATGAGACACCAAGAGGTATAGTGACTTTCTTAAGGTTACCAGCAATTAAATGGCAGACCTGTGATTTGCACCTGTGCATCTAGCCACTATGCTATACTGCCAAAGGGACAACTCGACATCACATAAAACCTTACATGTAAATAATTTTCTGGCTGGAGTATATCTTTGTTAGCAAAAGATAAATAATATTCTAGAGGGGATAAGAAGGTATGAGCTTAGGGAATTCCTATGTATAAGAAAAATATTTAGGGCACATGTGAAAGTTCAGAGCCAGAAAGTGATGTAAAGAAAAAAAAAAAAAAAAGGATATGCTAGCTGGAGACTCAGTTTCCCAGCAGACAGAGTCCTGTGTTATATTATAACATGTTAGGCACTATGTTCTAGGGCTCCTTTTCTCATCCCTCCATTAACAGGGAAGAGGTTATAGGTGATTTATGAGAATGTAATTAGAATTTGATAGTGAGCATTGAAGCAAAAATCAGATTCCTTCCACAGAGCACTGGGGGGAAATGCATAAAATCCACAAAGCAAGCTATTCCTATACCCCAGTCAGAGTTATTGGACTTAACTAACACTTGATAATTCTACTAACCAGTTTCTATGTGTATCCTGGCAATTTTTTTTAACTGAACAGTGCATAGGTTATAGAGGTACTACAGATGAACTTGGATGAAATCGGGAGGTCTTTGCCTGCGTTTTTAGATTTAAAATATTATACATACGAGGTCTGTCTGGAAAGTATCCAGCCATGTAGTATGAAACATACATTAACAATGGCTGGATACTTTCCAGACAGGCCTCATATACTTGCTCCTAAAACTATTATTTCTTGTAAAATATTAAAACTGCTTCCCTCTGATAGAATCCTGTGCTCTTCTAGGGTATGGAATAGAATCTTCTTCAGGAGCCCAGAGATTCTGAGATGATGTGGCAAGCAGAGTGAGACAGACTACCTGGGTTCTGGCTACCTGTGATCTTATGATCAAGTTAATTTATCTCCTTGGGTCTCATTTTTCTCATCTAAGAAATGGAGACTAATAGTAATTATTTCACAGGTTTGTTGTGAAAATCAATCAATACATGAAAGTGCTTATAACAATGCTTGTCACATAGTAAGCAGGCCAAAACATGTTAGCTATGTTGGGAATGATGCTGTTCCTTAAATATCCATCACTCAAAGAGGCATCTCTAATTGATTTTTGCAGCCACAAGCCAGGGATGTGTGCAAACAAATGTTTTCCCTCACATCCCATAGCCATTTAAAAAAATCTCTGGAGCAACTTACAAGATCTCTAGTAAGAGTGATGTCCTTCTCTTTGGCTAAGATGACAAGGTGAATGGAGGTGCATAAAGTAGGAAGGACCAGGGCCTGTGACTGCTACCTCTGGTCCACATTGCCTTACAGAAAAGGGCCTCATGACAGCCTGGTCTACATGAAGAACAAGACCTGTCTCAGAGAGGCTGCCTAGCATGGGTTTTGGAGTGAGACAGATCTGGCTTTGAATCTTTGCTGTGCAACTCTGAATTAGTCTCTTATTTTGCTAAGCTTTAGTTTCCTCACCTGTCAAATGGGGATAATAATGGTTAATAGGGATCTTGTAGGATTAAATGAAATAATAGATATATAAAGCCTAGCAGTGGCTGGCACACAGTAAATGCTTAATAAATGTTCATTTATTCATTTGTTCTTTTTTCAGAAATATTAGTTAAGTGCCTCCTATGTGGTAGGTCACTTTCCCTTCTCTCTGCTGTGATAGGTAACAATCATAGTTACTTTCCACAGAATGTTTTCTAATGACAATAAGAATGCTCCCCAGCTAGATGGACAGCTTGAGAAGTAGCTACATGGGATCTGATAAGGGATTCTCACAGTGCTCAGGAGCCAGACCCTGTAAATGCTGTGCTTGTGGCATCTTGGGTGGGAAAACTGCTCAATTAGCTCCATATAGCTGAGTCACAGATTTGCCTGTCAATAAACAACACAATAACAAGGTACTTTTAACAGCAACAAGTCTCAGGCAAGTTCCCACTATAAAGGGATTTAAAGAAAGCACTTAGAAGACACCTGTCTCCTTATCTCTAGCCCCAGCAGAGAGCCGGCTGAGCTCTCCACAGGAGGACAGGCAGAGCCCAGAGCCAGAGCACTGAGCAATGATGATCCTGAGGCTTTTGCTTTGGTGCAAAAAGGGCAACCATGCACTGTGATGCATGCAGATGAGTACTGGCATGGAAGAGTGAGCAGACACTGGCAGTCCTGCTGGTAGACCACACTCCTGCTTTGGCTTTCCTGCCCAAGCAGCTCACCCTGTCAACTACCACGTATCGCCCACTGAAGTGAATGCAAAGAGGCAGGAAACAAGGAGAGAGAGAAACAGAAAGATAAAAATAATGTCCCTAGCTGTAGAAAGGAACCTTCAACATGTAAAGCATCTAGCCCCAGAAATACCTTTGATGCTAGGGGTAGGGAAGAAGAGTTTAGAAGCCCAGGCTGCTTGTCTTAGAGCAGAGGTAGGTTAGGTTGCAAGCTGGCCTCTTGTTCTGGAGAACAAGCAGAAGAAATAGCAGAAAAGGGCCTGAGCCAGATTTTCAGGAAAGGCCTAGTACAGGCAACAAGGGTTTAATGCCTTTGGGATCAGGGGCCAGAAATTGATGCATTCCTTAAAGACAAATTAAGAAATAATATAGTGATATTTAGGGACAAGAACCTCAATAACTCCCATTTACTGAGCATCTGAAATGCTAAGCATGGAGCTATGTCTTTTATATAGATTATTTTAACATTTATAACAACCATGTAGAGTAGGTATTATCATGCCCATTTTCCAAGTAAGACAACTGAGATTGGGAGCAGTTTCATTGAGCAGCCCAAAGTCACACAGTTGGTAAATGGTGGAGGTGGAATTCAAACTCATGTTGCCTGCCTCTTTGGGGACCCAGTATATCTCATAAGTACTTACTTGGGGGAATTAGTTGTCTCCTGCTCTGATGTCCTCCAAAGCCCACCAATGCCATAATAACAAGGGAGCTGAGCCTGCTCAGGTTGAGATCCCAAGTGGCCCCTTATTGAGGGCAGGAAATCGCTGGAATGGAGAGCAAAGGACTCTTGCTCTGCTGGGAGGCTTTGTGAACTCTGCCGTGAGCCCTCCAGGTGGCCAAGGCTCAGGGGTTGTGGCTGCTCCAGGACCCCCTCAGGATTGAGGGCACAGGAAGCAGTGGTTTCTAAACTGAAATACTGGGGTGGCAGCTCCTCCTCCTCTTCTCTCTCTTCATCTTTGTCCTCCTCTTCTTCCTCTTCCTGCTGCTGCTGCTGTTGCTGCTTCTGCTGCTGGGCTGCACGGAAGAGCCTATACTTCTCCCAGTTGGGAGGAGGAGGGCGAGGAGGAGGAAAGGTCTTCTTCCTGGCTTTGAGAAGATCTGGTTGGGTCTCATTCCCTTTGTTAAAGAGCTCCCTCCTATGCTGTCCCCAGGCCCGGGTGCTCTGGGGCTCCAGGCTGATGTGACTCTCTGAGAAGGCACGGCTACGCAGTGGGCAGGACATGGAGGCAAGGGAGCTCTCTTCCTCATACATTGAAGTTTCCTCTGTCTTTTTCAAGGCTTGTTTGAAGTCTCCAAGGAGATCAAGAGAAGAAATTGCTCGGTAGCTTGACAAATCCGGCACTGGGTTCTCAAGGCAAGGATGGAAGGGGGTTGTCCATGAAAAGCTAGCCTTGGAATGAGCCATTTCCCTGCAAAACAGCAGATGAGGATTGAGTAAAACAGTTGCAGATGGGCCCATATTTTGAATGATATAATTTATATAAAATTTAAAATAGCCATAAAACAATGTAATATGTGTAGTATTAATAAATATAATAATAATACAATAATAATGATAGCTAACACTTAACTAGGCATATACTAAATACCAAGCACTGTTTAAGTGCTTTCCATGTCATAACTTATTTAATCCTCACAATAACCCTAGGAGGTAGCTAGTATTATTATCCTAATTTTACAGTTGGGGAAACTGAGGCATAGATAGGGTAAGTAACTTGCCTGGAATCATAAAGCTAATAAGTCATAAAGCTAGGATTTGAACATGAACAGTCTAGCTCCAAAGTCTGGATATACACATACCACTCATGTCTGTTTATAGCACTCAGAGTGAATGTGCTGTGTTTTCAGGCTTACAAGCCTGATTCTCCTGCTTCTTCTGTTGTTTTTGTTTGTTTTGTTTTTCATGATGAAAAATTTCAGATATTTAGAAATGTACAGAGATTGCCTTAATAAATACGCATGTTCCCACCTACCACCAGACTTAGTATATTTGAATAATTTGCCATCTATGCTTTGTGATTTTTTTTTAAGAAATAAGGAATAATACTCTTTTTATCACTCTCCACTTCCATTCCCCTACTGCCTCTCTAGATACAGCCTATATCAGGAATTAGATATGTATACATTCTGTCTATGATCTTAAACTTGTAACAAGAAACACCAAGTAGGCTATTGACAAATATCTCCTATTTTGGATTTAAAATACCTCCTAATGCAATTGCAATTGGAATTCTCAATAGGAATATTTTAACTATAGAATTTTTTCAAAATTAGCTTTGTTTTTTTTAAAATGTAGGATATAATATTAATGAGTATTCTGCTACAGAAGAAATGAGGAGCTAGTAAGTAAGGGATTAAGTATATTATAAAACAATTGCAATTAAAGCAGAGTGTTATTGATTAACAAAACAAAATATCAAGTGCTGAAGCAAACCAGACTATCTATAAAACCATCATATATATAACCTTCTAAAACAAGGGATAAAGAAACATTATTTAATACATCTTTTTGAGATAACTACAGAGGCAGTGCTTTTTAAAGCTACATCATACATTATATGCCAAAATAAATTTTAGATCAAGAGTCATGGATATGTGTGTATATATAATTTTAATATATTATATATTATGTAAATATATATAGTATACATATAAAAAACTATCAGAAAATTTAAAAGACTATCACTTGTGAGGTGAAATAAGATTCTTATTTTTTCAATAAAATAGAAAAAAATCTTCAAGGAGCAGAAGTCCAGGTTTATTTGAATATATATAAAAAGTCAAACTTCTATAAAATAAAGGGTGACCAAAGTTAAAAGACATGTGTTTAGCCTCAGTGTATAAAGAGTTAAGCCCTCAAAGCCACAAGATCTGGTTTCTTGCTGTAGCCTGTGAACAATCAGCATCATGCTAAGTCCTGTCCAGTGACAGGAAATTCCAGGGGCTCCATTAAATCATCAGACAGAATATCCATTCAGTATTCATGATGAAGACTAGGAATGTCTCCTTAAAAAATAATAATACACACAATGATAGCCAAACTCAGATAGAATAGAAAGCAAAATATCCCTCATTTCCAGCCCCTATCCTGGGCTAGCTCATCACTCATATTGATCAGAAATTCATATCCAGACATACCCTGCTGTCTTCTCTTTGGGCCTTAGCATATCTATAGATCTTTAAGATCATAAAAATCCCTTATGTGCAAACTTTTTCACCTGGCAGGTCCCCTTATGAAAGAAAACAAAAACAAAAAAGATGATGGGCGAGTGGAAAGTAAAAGAATGACAGATATGTACCAGGCAGAGATCTTTCCTGACTGACTTATCTAAAATAGAGATTACTTATCTTTAATTATCCTTATCCTACTTTGTTCTTTCTCACAGCATTCATCTCCACCTGATAGTATATCACATACATATTTTTACTTGTTTATTTTGTGTTCTACTTTCTAAAGAAAATGTAAGCTCCTTGAGGGCAGGGATCTTTTCTTATTTCACCTTGACTCTAGTGCCTGGTACACAATAGGTGGTCAATAAATATTTGTTTAACAAATTAATTGATGTCAAAATTTAAAAAACAAGAATTATGATACTCATATCATAAAAACATTGAATAAAAGTCAAAAAGCAATAAACAAGACAAAGCAGGGCACTATAATGCTAACGACTAGAACACATGATGAAGATGTAACTACCCTGAATTTTTAAGCAACAAAAAGCATAGCGTCAAAATTCATAAAACAAAATCTGTAGGAGATGCAAAGGTAGAAAAAAGCAGAAACAAAATGTGACACTGTTTCAGCTGATGACAGAGTGTGACAGTCAAAAACTAAGATAATGGAAAATTTAAACTTCATACACTAAAAATAGACTATACTTTTTTTTCCAAGGGTCCATTGAGTATTTTTTAATTGACTATATATTGAGTCATAAAGTGGAAATAATACAGACTATGTTCTCCAATAAGAATACAGTAACACTAGAAATTAATAACAAAAATGAAAATGCAATAACAAAAATAAAAATCTCTAGTATGTAAAAAATAAACAGGGGAAAAAACCTTTCACTTTAGCCAAAGAGGAAATCTAATCTGAAATTGTAGAATACCTAGAAAATAACAATGGAAATATCAGAAGGTGGAGGATATGGTTGACTAAAGCAGTAGTCAAGAGAAAATGTGTATCATTAAATATTTATATTAATACATAAGAATAAATTAAAACACATGAATTAAGCATTCAATAAAAGAAGTTAAGAAAAGAATTATAAAAATAAACCCACATTAAGCAGAAAGATAATAAAAATAATGCCATAAATTAATATACTAGGAATCTATTGATAGAACTAATAAAGACAATTCTTCAAAAGAAAATATAAAACAATAAAACAGATAAGCCACTTGCTAATCTAATTAAAAAACACCCAAACACACAAAATTAGAACTGGAGAAATCACAGTTACAGAATAAATGAAAAGAATGAGAGAATGCTTTGCTCTTCTCTATAAAAACAAATTTGAAACTTAGGCTGATTTTCTGCATAAATAAAAATTAACCAAAACTGATTGCAGAAGAATGAGAATATCTAAACCCACCAGTTACCATAGTAAAAAATTTATAAATTTGACCAAAAAAATAGCACCAATCACATAGTCTTGTGTTAATTCTACTGATCTTCAAGGAACAGATAAAAATAAGGTTACTTAAATTTTCTAGACTCTGGAATCTAGACAACAGAAAGAGAAGAAAAGATTCCTGCATAACATTGATACCAAAACCCAACAACTAGAACATACATAAAGGAAAACTAAAGATCAATGTCATCTAAGAATTTTTATGCAAAAATCTTAAATAAAATGTTAGCAAAGAGAAGTCAGGAGGATGTTAAAAATGTAATACATCATGAAAGTGCGTACCCTTCCCCTTCTCCCCCCTTCCACCTGTTCACTTCCCATTAACAAAAAAAGAATTTTTTTTTTTTTAGACATTTTGGTTACAGTGTGTTTCTTTGCCTCTCTCTAAAAAGCGATAGAGGTGGTGCAGGGCTCACCACTTGAAGACTGGATATGCTTGAAGCTCTGGCAGAGTGGGGTGGGGGGGGGCAGGGGCAAGATATGTAACCCTAACAATATTTGTACCCACAGAATTTGGGGGAAAAAAGAATAAAAAAAATAAATTGGAAAAGCATAGTATTACAATAAAAAAAATGCAATACACCATGAACAAGTGTGGTGCATCCCAGAAACGTAAGACTGGTTTAGTATTAGAAAACCTACTGATATCTGTAACATCAATAAATCAAAAGATATGTCATATAACAATTGTTATATGGTATATATATTATATGCTCCCTAATGCTAAAATATATTTGATAAAAATTCAGCATCCTTTCCAAATTAAAAAAAAAAAACTAACAGAAAAAGATGTCTATTTCCACAACACTATCATTATCATCATATCTTTTTAATTAAGTTTTTAAAAATTTCAATATATTAAGGAGATAAAAAAGTTTTTGTTAATAAATACACTGTATAATGCTGAATTTAGGGCTGTCAGTGTGACTGCCACCAGGACGGTGCTCATTGTACCCAATAGGTAAGTTTTTATCCTTCACTCCCCACCCTCCTCCCTTCTTAGTTTCCAATGTCTTTTATGTCTTTTATTTGTGCTCATGTGCACCCATTGCTCCCACTTATTACTGAGAACATGTGGTATTTGTTTCTCCATTCGTGAGACACTTCACTTAGGATAATGGTCTCCAGTTCCATCCAAGTTGCAGGGAAAGACATTATTATTATTATTGCATTCCTTTTTATGCTGAGTAGTACTACTCCTTGGTATATACAACAGCTATCTGGAAAGTATCCAGCCATAATTTTCATAATTTTTCATATTACATGGCTGGATACTTTCTAGACAGCCCTGTATATACTATATTTTCTTTATCCATTTATATTGATGGGCACTTAGATTGATTCCACATCATTGCAATTGTGAATTGAGCAGGTGCCTTTTTAGTAAAATGATTTCTTTTCCTTTGGTTAGATGCCCAGTGGTGGGATTGCTGGATCAAATGGTAGGTCTTACCTTTAGCTCTTTGAGGAATCTCTATACTATTTTCCACTTAGGTTGTGCTAATTTTCAGTCCTATCAATAGTGTATAAACATACCTTTTTCTCTGCATGCACATCAGCATCTGTTGTTTTTTGACTTTTTTAATAATGGTCATTCTGACAGGGGTAACATAGTATATCACTGTGGTTTTAATTTGCATTTCCCTGATGATTAGTGATAGTGAACTTTTTTTTATATGTCTGTTGTCATTTGTCTGTCTTTTTTTATGAAGCACATACATGTTTTATTACTTCATAGTCTTATATATAATGATACATAAAGGCTAAAATACCTT